TCACAGAGTGTTAGAGAGAGAATTATGCAATCTCCCTATGGTAAAGTTCATGTAGGTGAGTATGGGCAGTATCCCCCTCCTTACTACAGAGAGAGGAGTCCTCGCATTAAACCTACTGATGGTTCACTAAGTGATTCACCTTACTCAAACTATGCAGAATTGCAGTACAGTGGAAGTCCTTACAGTAGTCCGTATTCTTGGGTGTCAAGAAGCAACTACGCTAGCTCAGTGGCATCTGCTCCAACAAGGTAAGTCATTTAGCCTTCATGCTCTTTATTTTTTGCACTTGTTTGTCCCTCACAAAATGCAGCACCTTTTTGTACTCGTGTTCAAAAAATGCTTGATAGCATCCTAGTATTTGAGTTTTTTTTTTTTTCTAAAGCTGCACATACTCTTCACCTTAATGAAATTTGTAAGAAAATTATGCATATATGTCGTGAAGCATCATAAATAGCCATTGATAATAGTTTCATACCTCGGCTTCTTTAAAATAAAACAGACCACTGGGTGGCAGTCTGACAGAAGCAGAGAGCATGGAGAGTATAAGCTCAAGCGCTTCGAGTATAGCTGCACAAATCCAGCACGCTCGGGCCACCAGTCTCACACAAGCCCGCCTCATGATGCACCAGCGGGAAATGTCCTCCTCACCCTCCCCTAGGCTCGCTCGCTCCAATAGTGTTAGGTAAACACCCATCCTTCACATAGTATAGATAGTGTTGGGTACTAGATCTTTTTATTTTCCTCGTTAGATGTCATATATCATTAGGATTAAAATGCTGTTAATATATTTGGGAAAATATTCTGTATCTATGACTTATGTTGCTGAATTCTTGAAAGTGGTGAAGAGCAGCTTGTGGATGGTGCTGCTGTTATTGCTTCTGCTTTGGAAAATATTTTTGTTGTGTGCTCATCTTTATTTTTATTAAGTGCACTGCTTTTCCTTATAATACTGTGAACTTAAGGAATGAAAAGTACGAGATAGCATTAATAGTACCAAGTCTCAAATACCGTAGCTTAAATCTTGGTGCAAAAAAAATTGTACATTGAGGAAGCAAGATAAAGTATGTACAGAAAACTGAGAATGTTGCAATTTTTTAATACTTGGCAGTTTAATTTTGTTTACCCAATAATGAGACCCATGAATTCTGAAATGTATAAGAGGAAACATTAAGTGATAGTAATGAAGGTTATTATGTACACAGTAGGTATTTTACCTCTAGTGCTGAATTCCAACATTTGATGTGCTTCTGGACCCCAGCCTTGGGCCAGGCTTGTCTGGTGCTTGCCTGATCAACCTGGCTGTTGCTGCTGGTAATGTTATTGATTCTTGTCAGATAAAATGTGTCATTAAGCATTTGAACTTTTTTTTGTGAGATTGTAGATTTTTAGTGTTTTTCTCTTCAATTTGTGATGAAACTGAAATTGGAACTTTTATTTCCCGGAAAGCTGACAATAATTTCAGTTGGTTACAAAGATAGGTGGAGCGAGTTAGAAGCTTAGTGGAAAACTACTGATTTTGCAGAGCATTCGGACAAACTTAAGATGATGCTGTACCTTATAACTAGAAGTTGTAAAGTTTACCACTTAAAGATGTACTATGTCTATTACAGTGGAACCTCAAATATCGAACTTAATCCATTCCAGGAGTTAGTTCTAAATTCGAAAAGTCTGAAAAGAGAAGCAATATTTCCTATAAGAAATAATGGAAATACAATTACTCCGTTCCAGACACCCAAAAATATTCACAAAAAAATGCATTTTATAGAGATTAATTATAGTTTTACATACACACAACAATTATAGTGTTCAATTATGTATTAATAAATTTAAATAAACATATAAAATAACATTTTACTTACCTTTTTGAAGATTGGTGATGGCATTGGAAGAAGGGAGGGGGGTTGGGGGTTAGTGTTTGGAAGGAAACCCCCCTCCTGGGACTTCGGGTATCAAAGCCCTCTCTGGGGTTATTTCCCCTTCTCTGTCTTTTAATGCCCTCGGGCCAGCTTAGAGTCACGGACCCTTGTCTACAAAAATAATTCCACGTCCTCTGTTTCTGGGGCCTCTAAATTTCCCTAAAAAGGGACATGGTTTTGTCACTGAACTTGTTGCAAAGTGGCTTGTTTTAGCTTGCTAGGGGGGTCTTCTCCCCAAACATTTGGACATCTTTCCCCTTCTGTTTTTTTCCTTTTCCAATGATGTTTTTTCCACTTTCTTACCACAGGGGGACCACTAGCAAGTTTTTGCTCCCCTTGTAGTTTTTCCACCCCCAAGCACTAAAACAATGAATAAACGAAATGTTTTATGAGGGGTGCAGGTTTGTGTTCACTCAGCTAAACAAAACAGATGGTCCGGCACCTGCATGGGGACGCGGACAGAGCAGGCTGTGGACAGGGCCCGGGACCCGGCGGGTTTGAAAAAAGGGGGGAGTTCGAAAATAGGGCAAAGTTGGGTTTGGAAAAAAGGGTTTTATTTTTGAAGAGTTCGATAAGCGATCATTCAAAATTTTAGGTTTCACTGACTAGTTTACCTTTAACAAAGTATTTTTCTATTCCCCGTGTGTTTTGGGCATGGATTCATTGGGGTGAGGTAAAAAAAATTTCTCAGGTTTAAAAATTAAATTTTTTTTTTTATGCAGTAATATGTAGTTTTTGTCCTAAATGTATTTTTCATTACCCCTTTTTAATACTTCACAATAGTTTTTTCCAGATTTTTTAATATTTTTTATTTTAAAACGGTTACTCTGAGAGAGTGGGTAAAGCAAATATTTTTTGACTTGGTGACTGTTAAAGGTGAGCAAGGAAAACATTTCAAGGTATTCAGGGAAGTGTTATCTGGATTCGTTCCCGGGAGGTGAAAGCACAGTACTTACACTTAAAGGGGGGTTAGGGGGGTTTTTGCAGTTGGGGGAGCTCTGGCTGTAATGTTGGGGCCCCTCTGGCAAGTGATAGGTGTGAGTGATGGTGAAAGGGCTTTTTTTTTGGTCACCCACCCTTTGGGGGCCGCGGGGTGTGTTAAAAGAATGTAATGCAGTTTATATAAATAAATATATATATATATATATATATATATTAAAATATATATAATAATATTTTATTTATTAAAAATATATAAAAATTTTAAATTTTATATAAAATATATAAATATATTTATATATAAATATAAATAATATATGAAAATGGATATCGAGGGTTAACAGATCTGGCCTTTAGTAAAATGCAGTATTTAAAATTGGGGTATTGGTATTTTCTTGGTTTATCCTTAGAGTTCGAGTTTTTCTATCGGTACCAGCCTTCCCGGCGAAACAAAAAAATCAAGGGGGACTAACTCAACCAATTTTAGTTTTCCAAAGCCAAATGTAGGTACCACTATTTAAAAGTGGCATCATTACTGAATTTTTTCCTTTAACGGGAAAGCAGTGAGGAGGAGAGAAAATTTAAAAATGTGCTTATGACTTTGGGGTTTCTGGTGTGCCCAGTCATTGCACGTCCTCAAAAATGCTTATTCCTTTTATATTAATGTAAATAATGATTAAAGACTTTTTAATATGGGTTAAAGTTAGTTTAATATTTTTTTTTTTGCATACTGGGAAAATTTAATTTTCCGTTGGACCGAAGGTAGTTATATTTTTTTGACTTTTACAAACTTTTTATATCCCTCGAGGAATACTCAAGTTTTTGTGTGTGCAAAAACCATAACTATTGATACATTATAATAACGTATTGGAAAACCTGAAAATTTTAAAACTGTGCTTAAAAGTGAATTTTTTTGTAGTAGCCAAAAATTCAAAACAGTTTGGGCCTACAAGAAGAAATTAAATTTCAGTGTTCTTAGTATATCTGTTCGCTTAAAATTTTTATAGGGGTTTGTGTGGTTTGTGTAATTTTTTTATATCTATATTTTTGTCCCACAAGGGGTCAGTCCTAGGACCAGTGCTGTTTCTGGTAATTTGTGAACGACAAAGTAGGAAGGAATAAACTCCGAGGTGGTCCCTGTTTGCAGATGACAGTGTAGTTTGATGAGAAGAGTTCATTCGGATCGAAGACCAGCAGAAAATACTAAGGGATCTGGACGACCGCAGACGCTGGTCGCAGCAACTGGCTTACCTGCGTTCAATCCCACCAAAGTGCAAAGTAATGAGGATGGGGAACCAAAGAAGACCGCAGAGACGAATACAGTCTAGGGGGCCCAGATACTACAAACATCACTCAGAAAAAGATCTGGGGTGAGTATAACACCAGCACATCTCCTGTAGCGCACATCAACCAAATAACTGCCGCAGCATATGGGCCCTGGCAAACCTCAGAACAGCATTCCGACATCTTAATAAGGAATCCGATCAGGACCCTGTACACCGTGTACGTTAGGCCCATATTTGGAGTATGCTTGCGGCACCAGTTTTGGAACCCACACCTAGCCCAAGCACTAAAGAAACGTAGAGAAAGTGGCAAAGGTTTGCAACAAGACTATCCAGAGCTAAGAGGTATGTCCTACGAGGAAGAGGTTAAGGGAAATCAACCTGAGGACACTGGAGGACAGGAGAGATAGGGGGACATGATAACGACAATACAAAATACTGAGAGGAATTGACAAGGTGGACAAAGACAGGATGTTCCAGAGATTGGACACAGTAACAAGGGGACCTCAGTTGGAGAGTTGAAGACACAGATGCATCACAAGGTATGTTAGGAAGTATTTCTTCAGCCACGAGTAGTCAGTAAGTGGGAATAGGTTGGGACGCGATGTAGTGCAGGTCAGGATCCATACATAGCTTTTAAGCAAGGTATGATAAAGCTCATGGTCAGGAAGTGACCTAGTAGCGATCAGTGAAGAGGCGGGGCAGGAGCTCGACTCGACCCCCGCAACCTCAACAAGGTGAGTACAACTAGGTGAGTATACACACACACAACACACACACGACACACACACAGCACCACTACACACACACACACACATCACACACAATACCGTGAGAACAAATAGATTAAACAATAGAAGAATAAAAACCTGAAAACTTAAAAGCAATTTTGGATTAAAATTATCTAAATCATGTCTATTCAATCTTTTTCAATTATAATAATAAAATTACCGAAATTATATGGTAAAGAAATGAACGGAGAAGCTTCCGTTTACCGAGTAAAAAAATGGTTTTGACGGAGATCCCTTATTAAAAATAAATTAACGGGTCATGAATATTTACTAGAGATTATTGCAAGCTGATGACACTTCTATATATTACATAAATATAAATATAATCATTCATAATTCCTTTCAAAACTTTTGAAGGAGTTAACGAGAGAAATATATTCTGTCACAATGTCCGGGATACGTAAGTCCCTTGGCTGAGGCTCAACACTACAACATCAAGTCGGTGGTAAGAACAGTTTGAACAATAAACCTGAGAGTTACCTGGAGAGAGTCCGGGGGTCAACGCCCCCGCGGCCCCCCAGTCTGTGACCAGGCCCATGGTGGATCAGAGCCCTGACAACCAGGCCTGTTGCTGCTGGCTGCAACGCAAACCAACGTACGAGCCACAGCCCGCTGGTCAGGAACCGACTTTAGGTCTTGTCCAGGCCACTTAAGACTGCCAGGGGTCGTTGGTAATCCCCCTTATGTGTGCTGGAGGGCATTGAACAGTCTGGGCCCTGACACTTATTGTATTGTCCTCTATAACGTCTAGTGACACCCCTGCTTTCATTGGGGGGATGTTGCATCG